ACTTGGTCTTTCACCTGTTCTGCTTTAATATCTATACTTGGTTCCACTTCACCATCATCAACTCTTTCAGTCACCTCGACTTCAGGTTGATGGCACCTAGTTAGTTCAACCTCTCTTTTAACACTTACCAGAATTTGGCCTTTGTTGTTCCCAAATGTTATTTTATCAAAGTTAACTACACAGTTCCTCGGTAGTAAGTAGTCCAACCCTAATATCCATTGGTCCCCATAACCTAGAGGACGTCTAGCAAACACTTGGACATTTGCAGGGTTACTCAATGATCCTTCATGGATAATTCATGATCCTTCGAGAAACTCCGGCATAAGCTGTTATACTGTTATAGATTTTTGAATATTTTTTTATATTAATATTATTATTTATTGTTATTTTATTTAATAACATTGTTTAGATTTGTTGATACTTATTGTAAGGTTAGGGTTTTCAATTAGTGCTTAATGATATTCTTTGTACTACAACGTTAGTTTCGACTTAACAAGTCTTTGTTATTTTAGGCTTACCTGCGATTCTTTGTACTGTTAAATCATAAATACAATATAAAGACTATTTCGTTTTCGTAATTATTTATATTTCCTACTTACAATTCATTTGGTTTGTAAGGACATCTAGGGCTGGGTCTGCCCAACCTTCTCTCAATATTACTTGCCTTCGTCCTGAAACTGCCATACCTGTTCCGGACAATGTAGAGTTTGACATTTTTCCCCCACCTGATTATGCCTTACTGGGCCTACCTCAGCCCTTTTTGGACACATTTCACAGTAATGTTTTTCCACATTATGGTACTTTCTGGGTCATTTGTCTCTCTGTTCTCTTGATTGCCTGCACTTAGAACCTCTGTTGCCTGTATGGGGGCAGACCCTGATAATTCTATGTTTTTAACCCTCACTAAGTTCTCCAGACTTCATCTTCCTCTATCAACTCTCTTACAGGAATTGTTCGCCATACACCTCCTTTCTGAGACATGCCACTTAATTATTGGGGATTTTTGTGGGATACCTTCCCCCTCCTTACTTCCACATTGGGGTAATTGCCATATTTAGCTCTTTTCCTGCACACATGGCTTCTTTACTTTTGGGATCTTCTGAGGTGGACATCATTTTGTACCAAGATTTTTACCGTCCACTTCTACTTGGGACCTATGGCTTTTTCTCCACTGATTCATTTTCTTTTTTTTTTAGAGGGGGGGTATTCGTGTGACTTTAGCGTCAACGTGGGGTATCTGTGATGCTTCATTTGATTTTTCTTATTTGGTTGCTCATTCTGAGACATTGCATTCTTCATTCATGTTCCATGTCCAGCACCTTCTTTTCATTTACCTATCCTACCTATAAGGGTTCCTCCATTAATTTTGTATTCTTGACGCTGATTTGAGTTCTTTGTGTGATCTGTCCTGCCTCAATCACTTCTTGGTTCTTTTCCGTTTTACTACGTTGTCATTTAACACACTATGGTGGGCCATTTCTCCAGTACTGAGAATGCCCAAGGTAGAAATTTCGTATTCTTATACCCATATTCCTATTTTTCATCTCTCATGATGCTATCTTAGTTTCGTTCACCATGGCGTTGGGTATCAGTTTTGTGCCTTACTCTTTGACCATGTTTCGAATCTGTCAGGTGGTCAGTTTTATCTGACTTCATCATGATGGGGATTATACTTACACCACAACTTGGTCGTCTGGATTCTGTTAGTTCATTCCATACTAGAGTACTCACAACATACTCATCTGCTTCTTACCCATGCAGCTCAGGTGGTTGGATTTTCCAGTTGGAAAAGGTTTTTTTTCATTACCTACCTAACATTCTTATCTTTTGGGGGTGTCTTTTTTTCAACACCCAACTCCATTGCGCACATACTTCTCCTCTTTGACTGCTTTTGATGGAGCTTTAAGTTATCCATGCCATTACTTTTAACTATCTTACTGCTAGCGAGGTTCTGTCATGTTGGAGGATGTGGCTTCTATGGATGCAGTTATCCTCTTGAGTCTGGTACATATGTGATCTCTTAATGGGATGCTGCATGACCCATGGAATCTTGATAGGGTTCCCCTGGATTTTCCTTGTAACTTTCCTCCTTCTCTCTTTGACAACCTGCATTGGTGGTTGAACAAAGCCCCCACATTGTCAAGACCACTTCTTCCCCCTCGTCTGGATTCGTTTCTCTTCCCTGATGCCTAACTCCAAGGTTGAGGGTCGTGGGTCAATTAACATGAGGCTTCAGGACAATGGTATACAGCCGAAAGATCTTACCATGTTAATGCCCTGGAACTTCCGGCAGTCCAACGTGCTTTGATTCACTTTCTTCTTCTTGTCAGGATTTGACTAATCATGATCCATTCCGACAATCTGATGGTGGTGGCGTATATTACACACCAAGGGGCACCCATTCTAGTTTCCTTTGTGGTCCACCTTGGATCTCCATTTTTTTGAGCCCACACACTTGCCATTCATCTCCTAGTGTGTAATGTTCTGGGTGCTTTCAACCTTTTTGCAGTTTGACTTTCCAGTCCCAACACATTTAATCCCATGGAGTGGTCTCTCAATCCTCAGAATTTCTGGTGGCTCTGACTCCAGTGGAGTACTCCTCAGTGGGATGCATTTGCCCTCTTCCTTGATTTCAAGTTACCTCTTTTTATCTTTTTTTATGGTCTCTGGTAACTCATTTCCATTCTCTGGCTGTCTATGCATTTAGACAGAATTAGGACCAGTTTATACCTTTATTTATGATCCCATTCATCATCTTCCTCAGGTGATTTTGTGCATCCATTACACTCTGTGTTAGGTCTTTCAAATTGCTCCCTTCTGGCCAGCACAGATCTGTTTTTCTCGGCTGCTTTAGCTCGATCTATTCATTTTGTTCTGGATCGATTTTTCCTAACCTACACTTTGGCTCCTCGTGTGGCATGTTCTTCCTTTTCATCATTTTTTCTTTCATCTCCCAGCTTTATCCCCAGTCAGATCTGGATGGTCTTCTATGACCCGTGCACGCTCTTGGTTGCTTAATTGCTTTCAAGGCTTCTTTCTGCTGGTTCCCTTTCCCACAGTTTCATTCTCTGGCTGGGTTTTGTATTCAGAGCAGGACCAATCAACATAAATCCTCATTCATGTATTACTGGTGTCTCTGTCTCTTCAGTCAGTTAGCTTCATGTACATTGCTAACATGTTGTGGGTCATGGTGGATGAACATGTGGGTTGCTACGGTTCTTCCTATTGTGCTACTCCTTGAAGATTTACATAAACTGAGGATGATACTGCCCTGGCAATGGTTCCTGTCTGATTGGTTTTGAATGGGATGTTGCACAATACAGGGACATCTTGATTATTCCGATTGTCTGGATGTTGGTTCCCGGATTGGTTATTTATTATGTATTTTCTCACATATGCCCTGTTCACAGATCAGTGGGCATGATATCTTCCTGTGGTCTGCTGAACTTGAGGTGAAGATGGTATGATCCTCTTCCTTACCCCCACCCAATGACTAAGTTTTGGATTGTAGTTGACTTGCCAATGGTATGACCTTCTATCTTACCCCCACATGGATGTCGGTTCCTGGTGGCTATGTTTTGGATGCAGTTGTCTTGTCATGTATGGTGCATCACACCCTAATCACTCTACACCTTGGGGCACATCCTTTTACTCTCACCCACATTACTGTCTCCCAAGGGATTGAGATTCTGATATCCCTATCCAAACAATGTTCTCAGAGTTTTGGATGTGCTCCTCTCTTTTTCTGCCCATGTTTGCAACACCTCTTTCCACACTGGGTGTAGAGTATATCTGGTACAGATGTGGTACAGTCTCCCACATAGGATCTTCTGTTGCGAAGATCTCTACTTTTCGGGTGTTCTTCAAACGCTTTCAAAGGGTGCCTCTTTCCATTGCACTGATCCCTCCATTTATTCAATGTGGGATTCTATATCTGTGAGGGGAGGTAAGTTACTGTATCAAAAAGTTATTATTTTCTTACACTGAAAATATATTTCCAATAGATACTTACCACCTCTCACACTTACCACCCTTTCTCCTCACTGAAAACTGTGATAGTTTAGTAGAATCGAATAGAGAGTCACATGTGTCAGGAGTGTGTGTTTGCATTCCTTTTGGCAGAGGGTTGTCACATGATGATTTACATGTGAGACATAGTTGAAACCACATTGATCGTGGGGTACGTGGGAGCTCAAGGCTTGTGGCATGCAAAACTTTTTTGCATATAGAGGACAGCACTGAACAAGAAGAGATATATCTGTGAGAGGAGATAAGTACCTATCAGAAATACATTTTCAGTATAGGAAAATTATAAATTTGACAGAAAAACTAATTTTAATTTTTTTAATGCAAAATGTGTATTCCTATCACATGAAATATTTTCAGTCATGTTGAAGATGTAGACACAAAGCAGTGTTTATGTTCATTAGAGATGGGTGGTTAACTTGATTACTTTGTATAATTAATTACCTATGAGAATTGAGTGCATTAATTTCAGAAGTATAATCAACTAATGTTAGTCAGAGTTTCTCGCTTGTTAAAATTATCCAAGTAATTGAAATATTGCAATTATTATTTCTCATTGTTATTTTTGATTAATTCAAGATTGTTCAGCATAATCATTTGTACCAAGACTCATAAAAATAATGAAATAATAAAAATTAATGTTTCTGATTAGTACTATTTTTATTAATTTTACTATCCAAGTCTCATGTGAGAATAGTTAATTAGTTGAATGTAACTGGTTAACAATTAATGAGCCCATTGATTAATGGGTTATCCAGTTATACTAATCACCCATCTCTAATATTCATTAACTAAGAACAGATTTAAAATTATGTTATTAATAATGTATTGCATAGTTCTGTAAACATTTATAGAATTAAACGAATGTTGAGATTTCTAAACTTTATTTCTTATTATTAATTTCATTATGTTTATATTGTCATTTGTGTTAGTTGAGAGTTTGCAGTTACGTTTGCTAACAGTTGTCAAGTACAGTTTTGTTTGTATGTGCATTTTATTATTTAAACTCATATTGTTTCTTTGATTACAGAGGTAACTCAAAGTACCATTATTATGGTATCCGGGTGAAGCCCAACTCTCCTTTAAATCATATTTTGGAAGCTGCTAACTCCTCTGCTTTAAGGCACCAACCTATTAATCCAGCTAAAAGGTAGTTTTGCTGGGTTAGAAATAGAATTTAAAGTTAAGAGACCATTATCATTTTAATATCTGCATCTGATTGAATTTGTTCCTGCCAGTTAAATTATAATTAAACTAATAAAGAATTTTTACTAATTAGGAGCTAAACCTAGGACCTGTTAATGCATATGTCTAGAGAACCTTCCATCATTATATTAACATAGATGATTTTTATGTTTAAACAAGTTAAAACAAAAAACAAATGCTGCCTTACATTTATGAAATTAGTATCTTCTTTAAGTGTATGCTGTATTAAGCTTTTATTAAAGTACATTAAACTTCAAAACTTAAAGGGGTAAATATTTAATATAGTTCTAGAATGTAACACCTTAATGCAGTTCAAAAAATCACTATGTTGTTAATTCTTAGCTTGTGACTCCCCTCTACACTCCTCTATCGAACTGCCAGTTCTCGTTTGGCATCATTTGAGTTTGGATGTGCTCTTTTGTGTGTTTAATGCTTTATGTTTTCCTCATGAAGTGGTTATTTTTCGACATAATTTTTTCATTCAACCCAATTCCTATATTAGTATTTATCAGTTAATTCTAGTCACTTTACTTCTGCACACGAATTTGATGAACCTTTTCTGTGCAATGAATTCTGAACTTAACATAACCACTTCAAGGGTTACACCAGCAACAATTGTTTTTTTCTCACAACTCAGGTGTGGGCGACCTGACTGTGGATTTATCTGCTTTTATACGTCAAGAGATTGAATGTTACATGGGCCAACCTTTGTCCACAGACATTGCTCAGGCTCCTCCTGAGCTGGCTGAGCCTGTGCAGGCTGACGAGGACTTGGAACGTCTTTTTCGGACTCTTGTTTGCCATTCCTTTCCATTCCCAACCTAAGGCCTAATTCGGTCTTTCTGGATTTTGTGTCTCAGGTTTTTGATGTTTTATTCCTTTCACCTATTTCTTATTCACCCCATCCTTCCTTATTCCATGAACAATCTTCCCAACCCTTTCTGGTTTTTTCTCCCTCTCCTGATATTTGGGTTCATGCTGATCAATCTGCTTCACAACTGAGTGAGGGGATTAGCATACCACATCCCCTGAGGACTTCTCATTAGTTCTCCCTTTCTTACCATCAGGCGGACTATCCATTTTTAAATCAGCAGTTGTTAGGTTTCTTGTTACCTATTTGAGGGTCAGCTCTTGAATCAAATGTCAGTCTTATCCATGCCCAATATTCTCGCCTGTATCTCACCCTTACCAACCTCTTATGGTATCATTCTTCCATACACCTTCTATCTGAGGCTCTCCACAAAAATCCTGATAGGTTTTCTGCAGATACCCTTGAGCTTCTCTCCTCCACTTGATCCCGCATATCGTATTCAGCTCTGGCATTACATACATGGTTCCTTTGTTGTTGGGACCTTATAGGTTGTGATGGCATTTTTGATCGGGTACGTTTACCCTCGACATATCTCAGGGATTTATGTATGGCCCCATTTCTGAGATGTTACATCTTTGATACAGTCCCAGAAACTATCGAGCCTTGGATGACATCTGTCCACCCTTATGATTATTGTAGTCCGTTTGTCTCAGTCAGAGCCTCATATGCCTCAAATTCCATTTCCTCGTCCTTCCCAGCCCATATCCTTTCCTTCTGCCCGGGGTTTTTGTTCTTGATGATGCACCCCCATTGCCAACAGTACTTATGACTACCCAGTGGGTTTGGGTCCAGTGGGGGGGGGGGGGGGCTTGGCTTCAGGTTCTGTCAGAAGGATTTGTTGTCTCCAGTTTCTTTCCCCAGCTCTGGTTTCTCCTTTCCCCAGTTCCTTCTCTCCTCCTTGAGCTCCCATGACCAGCCAGCATTTGTCAGAAGCGATTCAGGAAATGCTCTTGCAGCAGGCAATTGACACTGTTCCCCATCCTTCCAGAGGTTTTTATTCCTGCTTTTTCATTTTCCCCAAGAAAACCGGGGATTGGTGGCTGGTAATCGATTTATCTCACCTCAACTGCTTCATATCTCTACCCAAATTCACCACAGAGTCCTTTCTCACCCCGAGATGGATGTTTACTCCAGGATAGTGGATTACAAAAATGGATGTCTCCAATGCTTACTTAATTATCCCAATATCACCTGTCTCATCCTTATCTTCAGTTTGTCCATCTCGGGCCCTCCCCTTCAGAATTGTGTTGGCAACTTACATGTTTTGTCAAACAGTTTGTGCTTTTGCACATCATCTCCATACTCTAGGGCTGTGATTTCATTATTACTTGGACGACTGGCTTCTTTTGGCTCATTCCAAACAGGAATCAACAAATCATACTCAGCAGCTACTTTCCGTGGTGGCTCAGGTGGGCTTGTCCATTTGGGGGTCTTTTTCAATATGAATATCAGTTGAGCACTGCCTTCTACTTTATGACTTTGTTCAGTAGAACTTTTTGTTCACCATGCCCTCTTGGCTCAGTCACTTATTTCTCGTGAGGTTCTATCACTTTTGAGAATGTGGTCTTCCATGACAGTACTGGTCCCTCTCAGTCGTGCTCATATGAGATCCCTTCAGTGGGCACTTCACATATGATGGAACTTTGCTCAGGGTCCTCTTTCAACCCCCATTTCCCTTCCTTCTTCCCTGTGAGACAGTCTGCATTGGTAGTTGGACAAAGCCCATACATCAGCGGGCATGCTGCTTCTTCCCCAAGCTCAGATCTACATCTTTTCACCTATGCATCCCTTCAGAGATAGGGGGGGGGGGGTCATGGGTCAGTCACCAGGAAGCTTTGGGCCATTGGTCAAAAGGGCTTTACATATCAATGTTCTCAAAGTTCTAGCTCCACATTGGGTATTGCATCACTTCCTTCTTCCACGTGACATTGCCTGGTAATGGTTCATTCGGACAATTATATGGGGGTGGTACATATCAACCACCAAGGGGGCACCCGGTCCAGATATTTATGTTTTTCGACATTGGATCTATTATACTGGGCCCAAGCACATCACATTTGCCACATTGCATGTCGTGCTGGGTGCTTTCAATCTGGTCATGGATTGTCTTCAGGGATCTTTGCCATCAGTGGGGTTCTCCCCAAGTGGATGCCTTTGCTACAGGCCTTAATACCAAGTTACTTGTTTTGGTTGCCTGTACCTTATCCACAGGCTCTGACAGTCGATATCTTCAGACAGGATTAATCACACAAGTATCTTTTTGTGTACCCACCCATCTGATTACTTCATTGGGTGATTTCTCTTGTCCACTCCACTCGTTGTCGAGTCCTACTGATTGCTCTCTATTGGTCAGCTCAACCTTGGTTTTCAAGGCTACAACAACTGCTCCTCCCCCCTGTTCGTTTTCCACTTTCTCCCTCCCTTCTTCGTCAGTTTTGACCACATATCCTACATCCCAACCTTCACATTCTGCATCTTCACATCTGGCTTTTGGCCAGTACTTGAAGAGACAATCTGGTTTCACATGTCAAATTGCTTCCTTGTTAGCTAGTTCCATCTGTCTATCTTCCAACACAATTGGAAGGTATTCAGCAGTTGATCTAATACCTGGGGATTTCTACAGTTGCTCGTGTAGCAGAATTTTTCACTGGTCTCCTCACATTCCAGATATTGGGTGGCCTTATCCCATACATTTCTTTCTTCCTAATACCGTAGAGTTTTTACTTCCCCTGTTCTTACCATGCTCATGCATTTCTTCTGGATATGTCGCCCTCCTAGGCATCCTGCCCTTCTGGATTGGGACATTAATGTAATCCTACATTCTCTTACTTTATCTCTGTTTGAACCAATTTCCTCGTGTTCCATGCTTCATCTTTTCATTAAAACATATTTCATTCTTCTCTTAGCATGTGGATGTTGAAGGTCGGTATTTGTTTGTCATTGACATTTCATGTATCCCTTTATCACTCTACCTATCTCCTCCTTTATCCAGATTGTTCCTTTTCCTGAAAACCTCAATAGCTTGGGAGAGTGATTCTTCTTCTTCTCCTCTTTCTCTTCCTTCTATTTCCAATCTTTACCTTCGATCAGATGTGGATAGGTTTCTGTGTTTGGTCGTGGCTCTTCATTGTTATGTAGCCCATAATTCTACCTTCCAGGTTACACATTCCCGCCTCTTTATCTCCTGGCAATCCTCCTCCCTTTGTGGTCTTTCACCTTCTACCCTTACCAATTAGGTCTGCCTTTTGTTTTGATTCCCCTATTCTTCCTTATCTTATTCCTCCTGGACTTTGTTCCAGATGTCCTCCCATCAGTTCTGACACTTCACTTTTTCCCTTGCATCTCGTCTTCATTGTCCAATGGAGGAGATTCTGCAACCTGGCATGTGGACCACTTTCAGTTCATTCATCTCCCACTATCTCCATCATATTGCAGTTCGCTATTCATTGGGGTTTTATCTACCACCTGTGGCCATTTTTTAGACTTTGGTGTGACTCTAACTGATAAGTTTTTATTTATACTTTTTTCTTCCAGGGGCCCCTACTTTTTATCACATGGATTCTGCTCCATGGTGAGTGGTGCCTGACCAGGTATTCTTTAACTCTAAATCTGCACTGTACAGCCATGTTAGCTTGTGCTTTATTGGCTTGTGGTATGCATAAATACTGTAAGAAAGCAGAGCAGATTCTGCACATTTTCAAAGATATACTCACCCTAGAAAGACAGTACTCACCTTTTGTTTTCAGGTTTGATCATTTGCTGATTTGCTATTTTGGGTATCATTTCAGTTCTGATTCTTGTACCTTTCTCTAATTGTGTAATACCTGGTGGTGATGGGCAGAGGTAATGTGGCAGAAATAAAGACTGTCAACTCTGTTCAAGTGTTAGAAACTTTAAAAACATAATAGACAAGTCACAGGCCATTTTGATATCTAGGTCCCTTGTGGGAAAGTTGTGGACACACTATCAGCCAACAGTCAGTACATTGGATAGCCTAGACAAGGGCATGTAAAATGAACTGTGCCACTAATGACCAATATCTGCTGACCATAAGGAATCATCAGTCTACTGCCAATAGGCTCAATATGAATGTCAGGACAACAGCTGGAGTGATGTATTAGTGACCAAATTGGAAAGCACAGACTTCTTCACTCCAGCTTAAGGAAAAAAAAGGTCTGCTCACCCATGCATTTTTCCACATTATACAGCTCATTTGTATTTTTGCTGAGATTAAACAGAAATGTCAGTAACACCAATGGGAGCATGCACCCTTTACTGATGAGCCTAGGTTTTGGGTCTTTATTATTGATCAATGAAATTGGTTTTTTTTTAAAATATTACTGATTTGATGGTAGTTGAGTTATGGTGAGGGAAAGCATCAGTATAGCCCCCACAGCGTAATGTCTGTAGACTTTACAATGCTAAAAACTTGGTTTCAGTGTCCATGGTGGGCAGAGCACAGATAACCCATTGTGTAGCTTTGTGCTTAACTACAAACTCAGTATCAATACAAATGGACTACAGATCTTATTGTGCTTGTTGATGGGCAGATATACTGCTTACTGATATACTGACCTAGTATTAGAACCCAGTTTAATAAATTATTGTGGGTTTAATAGAACAAGATAATGCTCAGTGTCTTACTGCCAGGACTGTGGTGGATTACTTTGAACAAAAATTCCAAATAGATAGTGGAATGTTTATCAAGAAATCATAATCTAAATGCCATAAAACCCCTTTGGGACTTCATTTTTTACAAGTCATGTCCAGTAATACACTACTAGTGAAACTGATTCATTAACTGTATTAATTGAATAAATATATTATATATATATACACACATATATATAGAGAGAGAGAAAGCAGTTGCTTTTATTATTACATATAAAGAATTTATTTCATTCAAGTTTATGCTGTTAGTGTATGATCGGAGAGTAATTTAATAACTGATAAAATAATTTTTTCCTGGTATATAAAACCAGCTCATTAGTTAGTAATGTAAACTATTCATTATTCAAACATGATATATGGGATGAGTGACACAGTGTGTGTGTATATATATGCCTTCTGATCTGCAGTGACAAGTAAAAGATTACACCACAGTTGAAAAATGAATTTCATCCTTAAATGCTCTTTTATGATTCTGATGGTTTTGTTTGCTTATTTTTCAAATTGATCTAGTTTAATACACATTAAGCAATTTAAATGTAAAATCGGTGATTATGAAATTAATTTATTTCCCTGACTTGTAGATTTAAACCTAACACACCTAAATCAGAAAATTCAGAAGGAGGAAGAGGATCATGTAGGACAAATGTTTCATCTCATTCTAGTGAAGTTAATGCAGCACAGCAACAACAACCAGCTCCTCATCAGTACCAGCATCAATTATATCTTGGTGATGCTTCTGCTGCTATTCCAAACCTGGATCTGGATTCAAGCAGTTTTAGTCTTCCAGATGATATTGAAATAGAAGATGTTCATGCTTTTAGGGTACTTTACAAAGAACACTGTGAGGTTGGTCATTCTTGCACATTGAAAATATAAATAAAATGTTTCATAGGTTCATACCATTATGTAACTAATTATTTATAAAATATTTGAAGTAATTGTAATAAATAATTAGTTAGGAATGTGTTTTTCTAGTTTTTACTTTGTGCTTCTTTCCATACAAGTTATTATTATACAGGTGTGTGGGCATGTTTTCATGAAGGGTTTACCAGCTGAACATTCAAATATAAAACATTTGAGTCAGTAGTGTTATCCTTGTATACAATCCTTCATTCTTTGACATTTAATAACTTGCAAGAAATGCTCTGACTCTATAGACTGAATATCTTTCTTCACTGTAGCCTTGAACTGGTATTTGGTCAAAAAGATAACACTTTATAGTACGTATAAAATCAGAGTAAATTACATGAAAACATAACATACTAACCCTAACTTTATTTTAGAAGAAATCTGTTAACTGTTACTTACTGTATAAAGTATGAGCTTAATCTATATATATATATATATATATATATGCAGTACAATTTTATCAAGGAAATATTGCAATATTTCCCTACAAGTAACACTATATATCTTATGTTTTAACTGTAAATTTAGCATTTGTACTTTTGTGTACACTTCATTTGGTAATTACATGTGCCTAGCTGTTAAGCATTAAACTACATGTATCTAGTGAAATCCCTTCTCTATGTACATATCATTTTGCATTTCTATGAATTTCTAATCAAAACATTTTTTTTTTGCACATAAAGAGAACCAAAATTTATAGGAATGTGTGTTTTAGGCCTTCCTTGATGCAGTTATAACCCTTCAGTTCTCTATGATAGAAACTTTATGGAGATCTTTCTGGAGGATGCAAAATAATGATCAGAGGTAAAGTTAAAGCATTTTGTTGAAATATTACTTGATTTCATCCATTTAACAATTTTTTATATTTGATTAATTATGTTAGTAAAGTACGTATACAAAATGTATTCCACAAAATCCTTGAAAATTATTATTATGGATAATAGTTTCAGATATGTATGGTGTAAAAGTTTATGACTTAACTTGATGTACAGTACTGAGAACTTTTGTAGTAGATAACCAGTTGGTAAGGAAAATAAAGAAGCTAAATGTCATTAGGGAAGAGAATAATGAAGTTGGCATCTAAATATTTTTGTTCACTAAATATTTATTTACAAAGGTTGAGTACATTTAATAAAAATAACAAGTTGATGACACCAACATTTCAGCATGCACAATAATTTATTTGGATAAAGTTAAAAGCAACTCTAGGTGTTTTGGTGGAACATGCTCCACCATCTTCAGGAGACGAAGACACAAAAATAATAATTTATATGCCCTGTAAATGTATGTGTACAATTTGCATCTTATACAATGGTGCCAGAAATTTACTTCCATGGCACCAGGACCTAAATCTCCATTCAAAATCATTTTATGATTAACAATTTCTAGTGAGTCTCTTATATTTAATTCGTTTTTATATTGTTCCAATCAGTGATGTGAAAAGTTTGCTACATATTCTGCCAAGATCGAATTACTCATTTTTTATTTATCAAAAACATTTTTATTTTTATTAATTCTAAATTTCAAGTTTCTACTTGTATGTTCAGTATAACTTAAACCACAACTACAGGGAAATTTGTATGTTCCGCATTCATCCCTTACTTCAATTTTATCTTTCATGCCATTAAGTAATTTTAATTGAGGAGTAAAAGTTATTTGACAATCTGTATTCTTCATAAACACATTAATATATAATATTTTTCTTGACCATGATGGGACATATGGCAAACATAATCTTTCTTTATTTTCCTTATCAGTTGTCTGCAATTTAATACATCTGGAAGTTTGTAATTTATTACAGTGTTTTTTATACATCATATTTATGATATTAGAAATTGTTAAAAACAAAATGAATTTGAATAGTGATTTAGGTCCTAGTGCCATGGAAATCAATTTTGTAAATGGTGCCACTGTAAAAGATACAAATTGTACGCATACATTTACAGGGTATGTAAAAGAATTTTTTCTGTCGTCTTCATCTCCTGAATATGGTGGAGTGTGTTCCACCAAAACATGTGGTTTTTTAGTTTTTGCTTTTAACTTTACACAAATAAACTATTGTGCATGTCTAAATGTTGGTGTCATCAACTTATTATCTTTATTAAATCTTTGCACAAGAACTGTCAGTGTAATATCTTGAGTACATTATATTAAAAACGATTTTGGAGCCTCACTACATTGTTACAGTCCATGTCACCATATGTTTTCATGCACTATCTGATGATCATACATCTTGACAATAGCCGTGCAGTGTAGTTTCCATTTCAAAAGGCTGCCATGTCCAATGCACACAACTCCTCTCTGCAGGCTTTCCTTAAGTCATATAGTGTACAAGAAAGATTTTCAGTACCTGTTTCACATAAATCCATAAGGGCTGCATCTATCAATTTGATTGGAATGTCTTTTTATGGAATAGCATAAATACCAATTTTATTCTTCAGCTGCTTGAAGTATACAATGTTTCAACCGATATGTCATAGAAGAAGCTTATGTGCATGTGACTTGTGTTGCTTTTCCAGAAGGAAATTGTTCTTTCATGTTATGTACTGTTTCCTGGAGCATCTGGACAGCTTTTGCCACTAACCTTTGTGTTCATGGATTCTCGCATGTTACAAGATGCCACACTTTGCTTACCACAGTTGGAGTACAACTTCTTGCAGTTATTTTTCTAAATGGTCCTGGTGTCCCAAATTAATCCACTTACCTTTATTTTCCAGTTTCAATAAGTACAAAGGATATCATCACCTTGGAAATTCTAAATACCTGATCTCAACACATGTTTATAATCTGAAAGAATGAATATTTTGTATTGGAAAGGACTGCTACCTACCCTTTCCAAAAGAGTATCAAAACATAATTCTGATAAATTCCACTGTGATTTTATATCAGCTGTGGTTGCATGGCTTGCTAAGTTGCATATTCAAATTTGCTTTAATATAATGTATACAACCTTCTTTATGTATATATGGTGTGTGATATTTTTGATGACAAGATTTATGAAACTTAAGGACAGTTAATGTTGACAATGTATATGAAATTTTGGATGTTTTCTTATTGTTTCATGTTTTGTTAGACATTTTGATATACTTTTTTTTTATCTTAAGTGTCCAATCTTTCAAAGTTTGAAAAAATGGCCAGTATTTCTCAAGCTACTATGTAAATCTAGAAATGCAGACAACATTTTAATTTATCTTTTTTGACCAGTAAAAAATAACCACTTGAAAGTGCTTATCAAAATGCGTTAGTAAAATCATTTGTAACTGAAATATTTATTAAAATAAAGCTAAATAAATATATAAAGGTTTAAAGTAACATTCAAAATTTAAAGAATAAGACGTGAATTTCTACAACATGATATAACATGAATATCTGTAGAATAAGTACAAAATTTTAAATGTGTCTGATCATTTATAGGCCATATCAAAGATAAAATGTTGTGATTCATAGACAGTATGTTATTCATGGAATCTAAACTGAAGTTAAAAACTTTTTTATTCCTTTTTTATTAACCAACTGGAGCAAATAATTTTTTGTGTGTATAATAAAATCATGTAATAAGTAATACACATAATACTGCTCCTTTTAAACACCCTAAAATGTATACCAGTAAAAATAGTAAAATTGAGTAGTATTGTAGCTCATTTTATTTGATTAAGAAATTTATATTCTTTCACTTCAAAAACTTTTTGTTTTAATTACTAAATAGTTTGACATTTTCTAGATACTTTATATTCAACAGGTCATCACCACTTGCATCATTCTTCATACACTCCAATGAATCTGTTCAAACTTGAATGTAGTTGCAGTATGCCACTGAAAAAAATCATTTGCAATCATATATGCTGTACTGAAGTAAAACATTGCGTACCTTTACAAATGAACTCAATATTTTACTGTAGTTGTGAAATGCTGAAAGAATTAATTTATTTCATGAAAATTTACTGACTTTCGGATGACCAATAGTACAATATAATAAAAAGAAGATGTGTGAAATATGCAGATTTTTTTATACATTGGAAATGCTATATGTAGATTACATTCACTAGATCAGCAATGGTGTATTTCTGCTACTATAAAGACATATTATCTTTCGGTCTGATGCAAAAGTAATATATAATTTTCAGTAAATGTTTCATTTCTAAAGTTGTTTTATCTATAAATATGAAATTATACCTTTGCTTGAAAATTAAAAAAAAATTATTTTATACACAATTCAATAAAAATGAGATTGTTTCCAGTCTCTAAATTACTAAAATAATAACTTACTGTACAAGGTTGAAAAGTGGTAAAATCCCCTGATGTGACTGGAAGACAATCTCATACACTCTACATGTTTTGACGTATATCTTGCATCATCCTTAGGAGTGTAATGTTTAGGAAAAATGTTTTAATCCAGGTGTAGTTGACAGAGCTGTCATAAAACTTAAAAACAGGGATAAAAATATTAAGATAAAACCATTTGCTGAAAAAGTAACAAAGAATGTTTAGTACTATCATATATATCTGGTTTATCGTGTCAAATAATGAAAAAATTAAAAAACAAATAAATATTTTTCCGATATACAAACCGATAAATAAAGTCAGTGAAATTCTTAATACAACTAAAGATAAAATTGATTTAATGGAAAAATTTGACATATATAAAATATTATTTGAATGTAAAAAAAATTATATAGGACAAACTAGAAGAAATTTAAAATTCAGACTGAATGAACATAAAATAAATGTTAAATATAATAATATTACTATTTCGCCTTTAGCAGAACATGTTAGGGAAACTAATCACACAATTCAATGGGAAAAATTGTTATTTTAGCACAACCTGGAAATGTAATTCGTATAAATATACATGAATCTATTGAGATAATTAAATGTAAAAATGTAAATTTAAATTATTGAATAAGGATGATGGAAATGTTGTCAGCAGATGGTGTGAAATTCTTTAATATGTAAATTGTTATTTTGATAATTGTATAAACAAGTGTTAGTTTTTGCAAAACATTACACTCCTAAGGATGATGCAAGATATACGTCGAAACATGTAGAGTGTATGAGATTGTTTTACCACTTTTTAACCTTTTACAGTAAGTTATTAATTTAGTAATTTGGAGACTAGAAACAGTCTCATTTTTATTGAATTGTGTATAAAATAATCGTTGTTTTTAAAAAAGTTTAGTTCTGAAGATTGAACATTACACACGTGCCAAAATATTTAAAAAAAATATACCTTTGCTTATCTAAAGAATTGGGTTTTGAGCAGTTATGCACAATAAAAAATTGTGTATGATTTTTGTTTTTTGCTGATCATATGCTAAAGATAGACAACCTAAAATTTTTAGTGTCAAACTCTGTCATATGTAAGGTAATCAACCAAGAAGCTAAGACAACCTAAAATTCTTTATATGTCAAACCTTGTCATGTGTTATAAATCAACCAAGAAGGTAAGACAACCTAAAATTCTTTATATGTTGAACCAAGCATTGTGTAAGAAAGTCAACCAAGAAGTTAAGAAAAACCCAAAATTATTAATATGACAAACCTTATCATGTGTAAGAAAATCAACCAGAAAGTTAAGATAACCTAAAATTCTTAATATGTCAAATTCATCAACATGTATGAAAGTCAACCAAGAAGTTAAGAAAAACCCAAAATTATTAATATGACAAACCTTATCATGTGTAAGAAAATCAACCAGAAAGTTAAGATAACCTAAAATTCTTAATATGTCAAATTCATCAACATGTATGAAAATCAACCAAGAAGTTAAGGCAACCTAGAATTTTTCATATGTCAAACTTATTAATGTGTAAGAAAATCAACCAAAAAAGTTAAAACAACTTAAAATTCTTTATATGTTAAAATGTCATGTGTAAGGAAACCAACCAAGAAGCTAAGACATCCAAAAAAAGTTAAGACAGCCTAAAGTTGTTAATATATCAAATCTTGATAGGTGTAAGAAGACCAACCTAAAATTCTTAATATGTCAAACCCGGCAATGTGTAAGAAAATCAAATGAAATATTAAGAAAACCTAAAATTGTTAACATGTCAAATCTTGTTATGTGTAAGAAAACCAACCCAAAAGTTAAGATAACCTAAAATTCTTAATATGTGGAACCCTGCAATGTGTAAGAAAATCAACCAAAAAGTTAAGCATTAAACAAAAAATTGTTAATAGGTAAAACCTTGTTATGTCTAAGAAAATCAATCAAAGAGCTGGTTAAGTTTAGTATTTGTTTATCTCATTGTGTTCAAATTATTTTGAGTGAAAGAGCTGAAAGGCTCTGAAATGTGTCATTTGTTCATTTCTAGTTTGTATAGAATGTGTAAGTATAATGCAGTAGTTCACAGGAATGATCTACACCTAGAGGAAAGTAACTTAAATTATTCTGTTTTCTATAGTAGTAATGAGAAGACTCTGAACAAATGTAGTTTGTATAAACTGTGTTCCTGTGAAGAAGTACAAAAGTTGGTAAGGAAAGTAGACTATCAGTTTTATCAGAATCTGGTTGATGTCCTGATTCCAGATGTTCTCCGACCCATTCCAAGCAAGTATTATTTTGATGAACATAGGCATATGATATTAAGTAGATGCACTGGTCTTTCAAAGTTGAAATTATATGATTCATTGAAAGATAATGTTAAAATAAACATATTAGAAATAGTTTTTCGTTTTTAACTGTTTGGGATTGTCATATCTGTCATCTGTACTCTGTTATGCAACTTTTAATCCTGCATTAAACGTATCTTCAAAGAAAAGTTTTTACAAAATGAACTTTTTGATACATGGTTGGATTTTTGCTTTTCTCACAGTGCTCTTTGCTTATTAAATTATTCTATTGTGGTTCATTTCATGCCTGAAATTCAAAAAAATCACTAGTGCACTACTATTTTTTGCCTGCCAGTGTAATTTGAAACTTCGATATATGTGGTAGTAAACTTTATTTTTCTAATTATTTCTATATTTTTATGGTGTTTATGTTATAAAACCAAATTATAACATAACTGGTTATATCAATACCAATGTTTGCGTAAAGTCATTAGACATGATTTTTCAGTGTAGTCTGCTTCTTTCTTTTCTTTTCCACATATAGCACATGTTATTGTACTCTAGCTAAAATCCTGCAGGTTTATTTACTTAATATATAGCTACACACATATCTTAGTCACACAACATTAATTACAGATAATTATGTTATATTCATTTATATTTCTGCTCTCATCATCATAAAAAATAAATTAATAAATCATAATTTTGTTCATAGTCCGCAAATAGTATTAAAGTAAATGTACACAAAGTAAATACAGATTAGATGTACTCTGTCAACTATACTCATTTGTTCCAGAGAAAACTAGATACAAATTACATAAAGCAATATAGATGGAGTAAACATTATGAAATGTGTGCATAATTGACACTTATTTAAGCATAAAGAACCTGATATGCTAGAAAATGTAATTTCTCAGTGTACAAAAATAATTCACTTAAGAAATTTTATAATATTTAAAAGTAATGAATAAGGTATTTTAATTTATCCATCTTAAAATGACACACATCTATGTAATCAGTTCCATTCCAATCCCTATCACTTTACATGCTCGATCTTTCAGCCATGGGGACATTATAGTGTGATGGTCAAATCCACTATTCATTGGTAAAAGAGTAACCCAAGAGTTGGCAGTGGGTGGTGTTGTCTAACTGCTTTCCTTCTAGTCTATCCCCTAAATTAAGGCTAGCACAAATAGTCCCTGTGTAGCTTTATGTGAAATTACAAACAAACCAGTCCATTCCAATATTGTTTCTCTTTTCTAGCAGTGCTTATTCACTCTCAGTGTAATTATTTTTGTGTTGTGTACTTGTATCACTGAGGCTTTCTGTAAATTTGCAGAACTATTTTGTGATAATCATAAATATGCCAAAATTCAATATAAAACTTCAGATGCTGTATAAAATGCTTTTCAATAGTTCTTTCCCTTCATGTTTAAATACATTTAATGTTTTAATATAGAACAAGACATTGTTCCCATCTTTTACTCTTTTTTTTTCCCTCCATTGAGATGTAAATGAAATGGGTTTGTTTAATTTTAGGTTCTCTCACCCAAGCTATTCGTAACTTTGCTAAGAGTCTGGAAGGTTGGTTAACCTCTGCTATGACAGAGTGTCCTGAGGAAATGATTAGAGTCAAGGTACAGTATACACTTAATTTGATACTAGCTGTGACCCACAAAGCATTTACAGTAGTTTTCATTCCCTTTGCTTGAATTTTTCTTATTCTATCATTTTTATGCATTACATTTAAGTATGCTTTCTTCCAGGCATTGTGTGTTCAATCAATAAATACTGGTCTATTTGAAAAAATTTTATTCAGGAAGACCATAGCAATTGTATGTAATGTAATGTTCATTTTTTTAGGAAATTACATGCAGGTTAAGTGTTGTTTGTGTGAAATACTTTGCAAATAAAAACCTAGAGTTGAAATCAAAGCCAGTCGTCACATGATGACAATGACATGGTGCCATTGTGTAGCGTACTTGTTGCACTAAAAAGTTGGACTAAGCAAAAAACAGGTAAGGTGATTCTCAATGGAAAAACCAACTTGCAGTCCAGACTCCCTTGATAATGGCTTTTCTAATGATATAAGATTTTTAGCACTAGACAGACAAATGCAAGTGTATTATTTATATAGGTACCTGTACTTCTATCTTATAATATAATATTTTGTTGTTTTTTTCTGTACTGCTAGAAATTACTATTTTCTTCTTTAGTCATAATGTATGAAGAGTACACATTTGCATAAGAGGATTGTTCAGTAAAAATAAACATAATCTAAGAAAAAAGGCATAAGGACAGTGTTATAGTAGATTTAAATCACCTGACAACATCGGAATAAAATTTAAAGATGGTTTCTTCCAACTTGAGGTGTATAAAGATAATATATATGATTTTATCTTTGTAATCAAGAAAATGGTTTATGATGTTATCCACTTTAAAGAATTAAAAAAGTTTTTTAAATTAGTAGGTGTATCCTCTACATCTGTAGTGCTTTTATTTATTAATGAAACAAATGTGTGCAAATGATGTATAACATATTGTTACGTCTCTGTTCGTTTGTTAATTTCCTGTAGAACTTCTTCCCGAGAAACTTCAGCGATACAAGCCCTTACATAAATAAAACTAGTTTATTCTTTCTCAATACAACTTTGCAATACACTTAATTTCCACATTTAAACACACGCTATAATTCTTAACGAACGATTCACGAACTTTACTTACTACCGTGCTTGACTCAATTGTCCATCTATATCTTCAATCTCTCTGTCTGCTATTCCCGTTCCGATTGATTGTTGAGCTTATATATACAAAAATAGAGGACGCATAGAGAAGACTAGAGTTGCCATGAACAAACAAGATCCTTCTAGAATCTCATGACGTGTTACTTGCGTCACGTGACTTCCTCTGTCGTAACAGTATTAAAAACAATTTGAATATACCTATCAAAACCCTTAAATGACAAAACTATGAGAAAATACTGAGTTGCAAAGAGTAATTCTTGAACTAAAGTAGATTTAATTCAAAAATTAGGTTTTCTTAGTTTTTATAACATTTCTGAATACATAGTTTTATATTTTTTTCAAGACATTATAGATAAGTTTTCATTTTGTAAATATAACAATCTTCAGAAAATAATTAGAAAAAAGCATATTCATAATCACTTTAAACTGCATTTGTTTTTCCCTTTTAATTAGTCCATTACAGATTTCTTATCAGAGATGTATAAAAATAACATTCAGATCTATCTTTTGTCTGCCACACATCATTGATCTGGAGGCTTGTTATTCATTACCAGAACTCATCATATGAGCTGGACTTTAACTCCACCCAAGAGTATTGTAAATACTATTGTTACGTTTCCGTTCGTTCGTTAATTAATTTTCCGTACATTCGTTCCAATGAAACTTTAGCGACACAAGTCATTTCTTAAATAAAACTGGTTTATTCTTTTAGAATACAACTTTACCGATACACTTAATTTTAACGGTCGCTCTATAACAAACGCTAGAACGTCTCATGTGCTTGTGCTCGACAATACTCAGTTCAATTACACAATCTCTGACTGCAGTTCAGTTACTCATTACACTGTTGTCCCACCATGTTGTGAACGTCTTATATATACAAGACTAACACATATCTAGTAAATGCTAGGGCATTCTTGAAGGAACAGGATATTTCTAGAAAGAGGTGGCGTGATACTAGTCATGTGACCTCGCTGACGCAACACTGCCCCCTCCTTAGTATTGTTTGTCCTGAACAATAGCCACTTACAATAAACCAATAACAATTAACAATAACTTATTTAAATGTACAGAATTACAAACACAAAATTACAATTCAACAAAGTCTCTTAATTTTACGGGACGTATCTTCTTCCGTACTGGTCTCCGTCTCATTGGCTTCTGCTTCACGTGGGGTTCATCTGCTTCATCAGGAAATGTCCTATCGTCAGTAACAGTCACATCAGTGGTAGTAACTTCATCAAGAGCTTCACCGGTTCTCTTCTAAAAACTGAGTAGAGTGTCTTCTTCAACATTGGCTTTTTCAAGTGACACGTCTTCAGCAGCGTCATTTGTTCCTTTGTTCACTTCGTCCCAACTGAAATATTCTGGACTGTGATAACGCCAAAGCCTGTTGGCATGCACCACTTTTGGCTTACCTCGCTGACCACATTTTACCCGGAAAGTCACGTCTGAGAGACGATCCACTATGTCATATGGGCCTTCCCATGGAGAAGACATCTTAGGAGACTTCCCTTTGGTCTTCCTGGGATTATACAACCACACCTTGTCTCCTGGTTCAAAGCTGACTTCAGTAGATCTCTTATCATAAGATAACTTCATCGAATCAGCAGACGTTTTCAAGTTTGAACACACTTGGTGGTGAATATCATCCATCTTTTCCGATAACACTTCCACAAACTCTGACATATTCCCAGACAACTCTTCATAAGGTGGGCGTCCTTTATGCTTGGGTCTCCTTTTAGCACTACATGTACTGCATGTCCCGCACCATTCTTCCACATCTCGCCTCATACCTATCCAGTAAAATCTTTGTCGTAGGTGACTCAATGTCTTCTTAATTCCGAGATGTCCTCCTGTTAAAGTATCATGGGATTGACGCAGCACAACTTCCCGTAACTTTCTCGGTATAACCATTTGCCAAGTCGTCATTTTCCCATCTCCGTACAAGAATACCATCTTCAAGCAAGCTTCAACTGGTCCCATTGTGCCCAATAGTGCTTTGTCACAGGGCATAGACTAGACACCTTCTCACAAGCAGGGCACAAAACACATGCTTTTAGAAAATCGATTATTAGCTTCAAATCT